CCGAAGATATCAAATAATTAATCTTCAAATTTCCCTAACAGGAATAGAATAGGGGTAATATTCTTTCTGAATTTGGGGGAAAGAAGCATAAACACACAGCAACTCATTCAGGGTTTTTCAATATGTAGGGAACCATTATTTATGAACCATTAGGTCTAATGAAAAAATCCATTCATAGTGAGTTTACTGAGCACACTGGAGACTTACAATTGTCCAGAATAGATGAAACATGGACAAATTATAATCAGTTCAGAGTTTTTAAAATGAGGCAGACTGAGCAAGTGATATATGCAAAATCAATAATGAAAAAAATTGTTTTTGTTCTGTTTTATGAACAAAGAAGTATAGCTTCTTTATCAGACCAGATATTATGGTTTGGATTTGGATCCTTAGTGTTCTCTAAGTTCATGTGTTGAAGGATTGATCCCTAAAGCAAAAGTGTTCAGAAGTGTGGCTTTTGGAAGGTGACTAGATCATGAGGGCTCTTGTCTCATGAGTGGATTAATCCACTGAAGGATTTATACTTTACTGGGTTATTAGGAGGTGATGGGAATTTAGGAGATAGGGCCTATTTGGAAAAGCAGATTAAGGAAAGCAGGGTAAGTATTAAGAAGGTTGAGTTTAGAATTAAATAGATCCAGAGTTCCAATTAGAAATGTTGATATGGCTGTGTAGGCTACTGCAAAAGTGTAGATCTTTTCTTCTTACAAAGCTCTGATACTCAGAATTGATTTATGCTGATAGCCAATTGGTAACTCAATTTTACCATCTGTGAAATAGAACTATACTATGAATAACTGATTCTGATTACAGGATATCTTATTAGAAAATGATAACACAATTTTGTAAACACAACAAAGAGGAAATATAAATGTTCAACATTATAGATAACCAAGAGTTAATATGTGTATATAACAATGTATTGCCATCATGATTTTATAAAGAGTTAAAAAAAAAAAAACTTGACTGAATTCTTAATGTATCTCTGTTATCACATTTCCTGGTAGTTATTTTAATAGCTCATTAATGAGAATATTTCAGGACTTGGAGGAGTATAGAAGAGTTGAAGATTCAGAAATTTAATTAATGCTAATAATAATTTTCCTAATAAACCATGAATCTGAGAAATTCATGTTTGAGAACAAAATGTTAAAGTCTAAAACATTTTTATGTGATGTTATTTAGAAGAACCTATTACTTTTAAAAAAATAATAGTTTTGATATAACAGAAAACTTAGAGCTGAAAACTTCAATGAATAAAATGAAAAATATAACTGACAACTTCAGTAGCAAACTAGAATAGGCAAAAGAATTTCTGAACTTAAAGATGAGATGTTTTAAAATAATCCAGTTTGAAGGAAAAAGAAAAATGAAAGAATGAAGAAAGGCTTTGGGATCTATGAAACACCATTATGCAGATAAATAATCACAGTACAGGTGGTCCAGAGGAAGAAGAGATGGAGAAAGGCAAATAAAAGGCCTATTTAATAATAGCTGGGCGTGGTGACATGTGCCTATAGTCCCAGTGGCTTGGGAGGCTGAGGTAGGAAGATCACAAATTCAAGGCCAGCTTCAGTAATTTAATGAGGCCCTAAGCAACTTAGTGAGACCCTGTCTCAAAAATAAAAAAATAAAAAGGGCTGGAGATGTGGTTCAGTGGTTATAAATACCTCTGGGTTCAACTCTGGTAACCCGCAAAGCACTCCCCCCATAGAAAGGTCAAAGACAATTCTAAAAACAGCAAGAAGAAAGAGATCACTTAAAAGTGAATCCATGTTAGGTTACTAGCATATTTCTCAGCAGAAACCTTGCAGTTCAGGAGAGAAGGGTCTAATATATTCATAGTGCTGAAAGGAAAAAAAAAAAGTCTCATCCCAGAATATTATACCCAGTAAAGCTATCCTTAGGAAAGGATAAATAAAGAAGAAAGAGAGGGTGAAATGAAGTCCTTTCCAGATAAGCAAAAGCTATGGGACTCTATCACCACTAGTCTGGCCTTACAGGAAAGAGAGTCCTTTAATCTAAAATAAAAAAGATAATTACTATTACAGAAACACAAGGAAAAACTAAATTAACTAGTAGACATAAATTTATAATCAAATTCAGCATGCTCCATTTTTGCAATGGAGTATTTGGAAGTTAAAAGAACACAGTTAGGCATGGTGGTGCACACCTGCAATCCCAGCAACTTGAGAGGTAGAAGCAGGAGAATTGAGAGTTCAAGGCTAGCCTCAGCAACTTAGCAAGACCCTAAGCAACTTAGTGAGACCCTGCCTCAAACTAAAAAATGAAAAGGGATGTTGATGTGGCTCAGTGGTAAAGCACCTCAAGGTTCAATCCCCAGTAATAACAAGAAGAAAGAATACAAGACTGAGAGAAAGGCCATATTGTGACAATCACTGTGCTGTGGCTAAACAGACTGTATTAATGCTTTGCAGGGTTCTATATGAGTTTATATGAAATCTAGAGTGGGTGCCTGACAATCACAGAGAGGGCTTCTTCATGACTTACAGTCTGAACACATTGGTTGGCACCCACCACATCACATCTGGAATTTATTAGACAACTTTCAGTTTTTATTTTTTTTCATCAGCCCTGGCCCTTTCCTCTGATGCAGGCTCTCTAAGTATTGCTTTGCCATGAATGAGTCAAGGAGATAAGTCACCCTGGGTGTGAGTAAATTGGGAATACATTAGGGATGACCCCCAAATCTGTATGTCCCTATTGCTTCACCTCTTTCTGAGGATAGGAATCACTCATGAATGCCAGAACTTCTTAGGGCAGTGGCAGCTCTATTTACTGGAAGCCTGGTCAATGCTGACTGCTTCTCTGTTAGGAAATAGTCTTTAGATTGTGGCACATTCCAGCAATTCAAGGACTAGAAGCTTTAAATTAAAACAACATTGATGCCATATCCTCTTTCCAAAAGGCCTCTCCTTTGTCCATAAGTTAGTACACACACTTAGAAGAATTAAAGAACTAAATGTCTTTAAAGAATTAAATGCCTTTGGCATGACTCCTTCCTTCTCGCTCATAGCATCCCATTTTTGAGAGATAAAATGACCATAGGAAGAAATCCTAAGAACTATAAAACATTCAGGGCATATAGTTAGAAAAAGACACTGCATTTTTTTTTTCTTTTTGCTATGCTAGGGATCAAAGTGAGGGATTTCTGCATGCTAGGCAGGCTCTCTTCCCCTGAGTCACATCTCCAGCCTGTGGGAATCTTTACTCCTTTCTATGTTAAAATCATAGATTAATTTCCTTAATTAAAAAAATTTTAGATGTTGACTGACCTTTATTTTATCCATTTATTTATATGTGGTGCTGAGAATCAAACCTAGTGTCTTACACATGCTAGGCAAGTGCTCCACCACTGAGCCCCAGCCCCAGCCCCAGCCCCTAATTTTCATCTCCAAAAACAGGAGAGACAAGTAATCAGAAGTCCCCTGTGAATGAGATACAATGTTCTGATCTTCTAGGCATTCTATTCTATTTGACATGCTAGCGTGAAGGACCAACACTACTCAGATTATGTGCTTATATAATTCAGGCTTAAAAAAGTTAAGTAGTATGATATTGTTAAGTTTATATACTCAAAATCAAGTGAACTTCTTTCTTAAACCATAGTATTTTCATATTAATCAGCTTTGGACAGCCAATTTTCAGTTTTCAACTACTAGACAGATGTCAGTAATAATTATAATAATAATAATAATAAGAAATATTATTAGTAGTAATAACACATTCTTCCTATTTTACTTAATAAGCATTAAAAATATGAGATGATGACATTCTCATCTTGCTAAACATTATTATAGGACACTTGAAAAGTTTTCTTTCTCTTGTAAATGAGCAATGGATTACTTTTCTGCTGGTCTATTATTTCTCCTGTAGAGAAGGGATATATTTTGGTATTTTCCTCAGCCAAATCAGCTACATAAATAAATTTTTTGGGGGGAGGGTACCAGGCACTGAACACAGCGGCAATTGACCACTGAGCCACATCTCAAGCCCTAGTTTATATTTTATTTAGAGATAGGATCTTACTGACTTGCTTGGCACCTCCCTTTTGCTGAGGCTGGCTTTGAACTTGCAATCATCCTGCCTCAACCTCCTGAGCTGCTGGGATTACAGGCATGCGCCACAGCGCCTGACAAATATAAACTCTTTTTAATAAGTAGTTCTAATATTTATCTACAAAAATACCTTTATTGTACAAATACTTATGAATTTAAACATTAAGTATTATGCCAAGGTACTACCAATTGCTGACTGATCTCTCTATATAGAAAAGAAGACATTCTTTATTTTAAAAGTTCTTTCCCAGTCCAATTACTCAGAAGAGTATATTTAAGAAGCCAAAATGTATAGGATTGTTGATACTGCAAATTGTACAGGACTAGTCAGTGAAGATATTAAAGTTAAAGCAGGGAACTAGATTTGAAAACTCAGCTTTCTCGTTATTTTCAAAAGGACAATCTTTCCCCCATTTTATAACTGTGATAAAATATACCCAACATTACCATTTTAACCATATGAAGTGTATGGGTCTATGAAATATAGTAAGTATTAAATTTTGGAGGGTTTTAAGGTTGGAAAGGAAAGGGCAAAACTCTATTCATACCTTCAAACACTATTCAACCCTGAATAACAAGAAATCTCTTAATAAAAATATAGTTAAATGCCTTTGTAATAAGAACATAGTTGGATATAAGAAATTTAAATGGGTAGAATTTCACTAATTTCTACCAGCCATAGCATAAAATTAAGAAATGTTCTCATGGAAGACTTATGACATCTTCTAAACTGGCCCTATTACCAATAATACTCTTGTGAAAGTCGAAATCTCTAATTATGAAAATTAAGTGAATGCCATTGTCAGATGTCTAATATGAAACACAAGACCCTAAAGTACACACTGGTAAGACAAATGTGGAGAAAATGGTGTGAAAGCTGGTCTCCTGGTCCCCTCCCTGGGCCCCTGACATTACTAATACCTGCTGTTTGAGCTGCTGTACCAGGCGATCCTTCTCACGTTTAAGTGCAGCCACTTCCTCTTGGGTCTTTTTCTTAGAGGACGAAAGTTCTAAAAGAGCTATATTGGCATCTTTTTCACTAATGGCAGCCAGAAGAGCTTCTTGCCTGAAAAAGAAAGAAAATGCCATTTTCATTTAACCCTTGTAACAATTCTTTGAAGTTATCAACCCCCATTTTATGTATGATAAAACCAAGGCTTGGAGAGTTCATGCAGCTTGCCCAAGTTCACACTTGGGTATATGGTACAGCAGGAAACCCCATTCAGGTTTTTCTGATTCTAAATGTTTTCATCTTGTTATATTGCTATATTAATTCAAGGATTCTTACATAATATTAAATGAAATAAGCCAGTCATAGAAGGAAAAACATTGCATGATTTCACTTACATGAGGTTATCTATAATTGTCAAACTCATGGAATCCTAGAATGTACCATAGAGATTACCAGGGACTAAAGGAAGGGAGAAATAGAGAATTGTGAATCAAGGCATAATTTCTCAATTTTGCAGGATCACAATTCTCAGAGACCTGCTGTACAACATTTTTCTTGTAGTTAACAACATACTGTTTTGTACATTTAAAAATTTAACAGCGTGGATCCAGGTTAAATACTCTCATCATAAAAATCAAAAATTTTAAAATGTTTAATTTTTGGAAAAACTACATACATAGTTTTCCTTTTGTGCTGGAGAATCACACCCAGGGCCTGGCATATGCTAGACAAGTGTTCTATCACTGAGCTAAATTGCCAGCCTAATAATAACTTAGGGAGCTGGGGTTGTGGCTCAATGGCAGAGCACTTGCCTTGTACATGTGAGGCCCTGGGTTTGATCCTCAGCACCACATAAAAATGAATAAACAAAGATATTGCATCCATCTATAACTAAAAAATATTTTAAAAATAATAACAACTTAGTATTTCATTAAAAAAGAAAAAAAGAGTTTCTAGATATAACTATGTTTAAACTTGAAAAATAAAGTTAGTGACTTTTTTTTTGTTTAGTAAGAGTAGTCCTGTCTCCTCTGTTTCATCCATGTAACCTTAACCCATTTATTTGATAAGTATGTGTAGCTTCCAGGAAAACTAAGACATTAACTTTGACATTGAAAACATTTTCATGTACAGAATATATAACAAATTGTTAACCTTAGTAAAGTGAATTTAGAAACACAGCCTATATTCTTGGGGCATTCTGGAGATTGGTAATTCTTTTTATCTCATTAATGCAATAAGTTTAGAGTTGTGACTTTATTGGCAATGATCCACACACTTTGAAACAGTAATTTAAACTTCACAGATTCCTTGTGGTTTGGCTAACTACTTGTGGTTCATGTCCAGAAGGAAAAGGAGTAGATTTAGTAGTGAGGTGGATATAAGAAACTTACGAAATAATCAGAATAAAGTTGGTGAACAATTTAGTCTCACAGTCCAAAATGCATTCTTCAGTAGTTCATCTTTTATGTAAAAAGACAGATTTGATTTACAAGAACTATATAAGTGGCCTAAGCCTTTGACCCGAGGAAATGCTGAATCTGAGAATGTACTGCCCAAGCTTAACTCTGCTTCTGTCTTTTGTTAAGATAATTGAACTTCAATAGCAGTCATATGGAAGAGTTTTAGTTAAGCCACAAACTGGAAGACCATCATTTGAATATTCTAAGGGATATTCTTTATACTGGATGGGTTGATGTACAGAACTCTGAATAAGCAATACTAACAAATGCAGGATATAGATGAGCTTACATCATGGAAATGAAGATTTGTTTAACTAGTATTTGCTGTTGGAAAGGAAGATCCTCATGGACCCCAGTATCACTTTCCACTGTCCCCACACTATGTAATTCTAAGAAAGGCAGATGGCTTAAACCAGGAGGCTCCAGTCAACACCAAAGGGATAATGACAGTCTAAATATAGCCAATGGCCACTTGAAAAAAATATGTTAAGTGGTGAAATAAGCATAAAGGTGAAGGAGTTCAAGATGGTCTAACTATGCAGTTTCCTGTTACTTGCTGTCATCTGTTCCCTTTTGGGAAGCTCAAAGACTGACAAAGTTGAAATGAAAAGAGTGCTTTCTCAAAAAGGGCGCTGCATTTCTTTGCACTAGGAGTCAGAATCACACACTTAGTAGCAGGCAAACAGCAAAAGATGAATGAAAAATTTCATTCTATCTAAATCTAGATATCTAGGTTGAGTAATCAACACTTTTAATAAATGCCAAATATGAAAGTGATAGCATTTGAGTTACTACTTTGTGTTTAAGGAAAGTATCATAATATGAAATATTAGAATTTATTGTATATTGTTGAAGCATCTTTATTAAATTCTAAATTCTTTCATATGATATGCTTGGCTAGCTAGTATATAGTACGGTACAGTTAATCTCTGGGGCAAATGTCAAATTTCCAAGAATATGATATATAATATGATATAACAGGTGATTATTTACATTTCAAATTTCAAAATTGTAAAGGATGTACCTACCACAGGAGTCCAAGCCCCTGGAACAATGATTTTCTAATAAGATGAAACTGTTTCTATAATATAATTCAAATAAAGATTTTATTATGTCATTGATGCTATTTATTTTCTACTGAGAATGATAATTATGCTGTATACTGCACAGAGTCAAACTTTTCCTCACTATACCCATGAATTCTCATCCTCTAAAAATTCCCTAGTACATGAAAACTGTATTGTTGATATGGATTTCTACAATTGTATATGTCTAAGAAAGGCAACTCACAGTTAAGAGAATAAAGTGTTTTGATTATGTGCTGTACATGTCATATCAATTTTGGATAATGTCAATATCTCTTTTAGGCTTTCCTTTTATTTTTGGAAAAGGATGGAATTGATTAAAATTGTTTTCTTGGTTATAATTTTGGTAAATCTGAAATGAATACCACTGAAACCAAGGGAAAACCTGAATAAACCTTGTAGCTTCGCTTGTTTTTAGTTAACTTACTTTTATTTCAATTTTAGAGGTCACACAACCAAGAAATAGACTCCTGTTAGCTTTGCTATAAATAACACATCTAATATATGGGTTATGATGGTGATAGTTACCTATGTTGTTTTCTAGGATACCTCAAACCAGTCGAAATCACTGACTCTTCACTTAGGTCTGGGCAAGTGTTCAATGTGTGACCTTATGATATCAGAGAGCCCCAAATTCCCCCTTCAGGGAATGGTAATACAGTCATTTTCTAAACATACGTCCTATGAAGAACTAAGATGCTTGATTATGCAAGCAGAGACCACCTTTCCTTATCTCCAATCACCTTTCCCCATACCTCAGAATACCCTGTGTCCCACAGATAACCTAAACCCTATCCTCGCGGAGGCAGATTTGAGAGTTGGGGCTCCTGGCTTCTCACATTTGGTCAGCTCATGAATACACTCTTTCTGTTTTACAAATCTTGTCCTTTTGGTGATTAGCATACTGTGCAGTAAGCATAAGAGGCCTCGTCTGGTAACACTATCAGAAAGAAAAATCTCTTAAAAACATTCTGGAAGATCAGTAAGGATGTGAAAATAAACACTAGAAGTCATAGCTCATGGGAAATAAGAAAATTGTTAATTTCCTAATATACTTCATTAAAAGGACCATGTAGTACAGTTGAATCTACATGGTTAAGTTTTACACAAGGCACTCAAACATATCTAGACTAAAAATTTTTGTTAGGAATGCTACTTTTCAGAGGTAAAGGAATTCAAATTAGAAAAAAAAATTGTGAAAAGATTCTTATTTTAGTAGCTACCTATTTAATACAATTATTTCTTTATAAAAATATATTTTCTGATAAAGATAAAACACATACATTGAATAAAACTGAAAGATTCAAAAATAAAGGAAATAAAAAATACAAAAAGCAATTCCTTTGTAAAGAGAGTCAATGGCTTGAGATCTAGAACTACTGCTAAGGATATTTTAAAGAAATTGAACCTTAATAGGGGTTAATCATTGACTCAGAGCTTTCCTAACTGAAGATTATCCACAGAAAAATGAGACTTGCTCGTGTAGCACATTCTGACTTTGTTTCCCATGAGCCTGAGGGAGTAACATGAGCACATAAAATGGAAAAGGTAATAAACGTATGTCACAAGCCCAGAGCAAAATAAAAACTTCACTGTTCTTCCTGTCAGATCACTCTTGTTCTGTGTCTTTTCCTTAATTACCAAAAGGGGGGGGGGGTAGAAAAAGAAAAACGTGGATACAAAACCTTTCAAGTGATTAGTTATCTGCTAATGCATGAAGAGCATGTCATTATTACTAGCATAATGAGTAGGTAGCAACAGAAATCCTACCAACTTTAGGTCATTACAATGGTGCTTCTATCCCTGGTGCTTTCAACTATCAGACTAGTTGAGCTTGCCCTTTGACCTGCACATTTTAATAGAATCAAGATGGTTCTAAAAGTACTCTGCTGTGGGGTTTAAGCTTCAGAAATAGTAGGACTACCCTTCTGTCCCCTTACCCTTGCTGGGAAAAATTCAGAAACTGGAGCCAAATATTAAAGGCAAATGGAGCTCTAACTCCTTTTGATAATTTCTGAATTCTTGAGAACACAACATTTGCCTTCTATTGACAATAAATAAGAGATGTGTAATCAATGATGATGAAATGATGATGGTTAACAATGTAGCAGTGTATCCGTAACTATGCATACTATGAATTAAGGGATTTACTGAAGTTTACCATTCCCTCTTCCTCTAAATAGGTATTTCAAATTGAACAGTTGTATAATCATGTATTAAAAATTCCATAATTCTGAAAATATCAGGAAAAAGACCTGATAAAATGGCTTTGGCCATTTTAACGTCATGGACATGTAGGCATAGTTACAGTTACTATAACAGAGGTTAAATCTGAAATCTAGATTCTATTATTGATGCATTAAATAAACGTTTGATTTTTCTGCCTTCTTTATTTGATAGGTAACCAATTAGTTATCCAGAGTGTGTAGTAGATTTACCAGGACATTACTTTTACTATTTGGTCATTTCCTTCAATTACAATTTTCTCCTACTTTCCTTGAAGAAGTTTCAGAGAGGATGGTAGATGCACTATCCATTTAAACTCTGTGAAAGTTACAGTCTGGGC